AGTACCATTGGCCACCAGCCAGTACCAGTACCATGCCAAATCAAGGCAATTCTCAGTACCATTGGCCACCAGCCAGTACCAGTACCATGCCAAATCAAGGCAATTCTCAGTACCATTGTTATTGATAATCCTCATATTGTCGACTGGCTTTTTACTCAGCGATTAGAAAGCTTTATTAAATACTGGCTTTATGAAACACTTGATGCTAAATGGCACTGGTTTAGATTTGAATATCAAGGTAGAGGTAGTATACATTGTCATGGTACTGCTAAACTAGGCAATGACCCAGGGTTATGTGATTTGACTAAAGTTGCATTAAAGGGCTATTTAGCTCAGACATTCAAAGAAGAAAACACTATAGAAGATTCATCTCAATTAGACGAGGATATTGAGGCTGGTAACAAAGCAGCTCCAACTGCATGTAAGGATGTTGATTGGTTGTTATCAACAATGAATCCAAACCCTCCAGATGAAGAGATGTGGATAAGACCTGATGTACATCCATGCCAAAGACAATATAAAGACATCCCTGAGTGGGATATGGATTCTGATTATGCTAATCTTCTAAATATGGTACAGAGACATACACATTGTAGCACAAATTATTGCTTAAGAAAGAAAAGCAATGAGAAAAAAATGAGATGCAGATTTAATTTTCCATTTGATCACTGTGCGTGGACTAAAATAGAATTTGAGAAAGTGCATAGTAAGAACAGCAATGAATCACAATACAGGGTAACGATTGTTACTAAAAGAAATGATTCTAGGTTGAATAATAACCAACAACTTCAATTACAAGGCTGGAGAGCAAACTGGTTATAAGATAATTTAAAAGAAATACAATATGTATTAATAGATTAATACTCAATGCTTGGTCAGACAACATTCGGTTGGATTGATAAACGTTGTAAACAAGGTACAGCTTTTCATGAGAAGGTCCATGGAGGTATTTCAATGATTTTGATTGGTGATCCAGGTCAGYTWCCTCCAGTAGCAGATAAACCATTGTATCATGCYCAACCTTCTAACCCTATTGGAGAGCAAGGGTATTTAACTTATAGAGTATTTGATAAAGTTGTAAAACTAGCTGTTAACCAAAGAGTCCAGGGATCTTCAACAGAGCAACAGCAATTTAGAGATTTACTGCTCAGGCTTCGAACAGTTCAACAGTTCAACAATTTAACTATTGAAGATTGGCAGTTATTGCTAACACGCCAGCCATCTAGTGTAGACACTATTTCTGATTTTAAGGATGCTACAAGATTATACTACAGCAATGATGAGGTATCATAATA